TGAATATTTTATTCACCAAGTATAAGAGGATGAAAGGCACAAGCCCAACCACTCCTGCCAGACCCCAGCGGGTAATGGAAGACAGAGATTCGGTAAGAATACAATTCTCACTGTCTGACAAGTTTTCCTATATCCTGTTCTGCTGGGTTCAAGAGATTGGGCTTCAAGTAATTGGGAATCTCTAATGGTCTTCGTTTTGGCTTGCTCACTTACTTAGAGTCTTGGTTTACTGAGCTTGTCCAGTTACTTATTCTCAAGGCTGGTCTCTGATGCCTTCAGCTTTGTGTAAAGAAAGGTTGGAACTGGATGATCTTTAAGGTCCCTTTCAGCCTAAGCCATCCTGAGTGTTTGATATTGCTTTAAATAACATTGAGCTAATGGAGATAATATATCTATATTCATCTCCTAGCAAGAGAAAACAAGTGTCCACTTTGCTTCTTAGATAGTAAAGCAAATGGCAACATTGCAGTGTCTGTAGTATGTTGCTGTTGCTGCCTTGACAACTGAGCACCTGATTGCCACTTCTTTCCTTTGACTAAGTGCCCATTTCTGCTAGAAGGGCCTTCCTTGACTCTTCCCCTCAGCTTGCTTCTGTAGTGATGCAGGCCAACATCTTCCAGGTGTTTCTGGGTGAAGCACCAAGATGCTGGAGCACATCCCTTGGTGATGGCCAGCCTTGCTCTGCTGCCCCTGCAGGGAGTGGGCAGTTTGCAGCACTCTGATGCTGTTGAAATGCATGACCACAGTGGGTTTCACTTCACTGCTGGAGCTGCTGCAGAGGCATTTCCCCAAGCCACTGGTGGGAGCCTCCACCTCCAGCAAGCTGCAGAATAGGCAGCATTTAAATGGCCCAGCCAGGTTTGTGAGCACTCACCTGCTAACATGAGGAGTTGAGCAGAAGGGTTCACAGCTTAATTCCAGCCAGCTTTGGTTTGTAACTCTTAATAAGTTAAAGCTGCTGCAGGCACTTGAAACCAAAGCCAAACCATTCATCCCTTCTTAACAGATTAGAAAATAAATATCAACTCCTTTTGAGAGTGAAAAACCAAGTTGGGCCATAGCCAGCTTTATTCCAGGCTTTAGTCAGCTACTGAAGTGCCTTTGATCTGTAAATTGTAATATTGGTAAAAGTCTTAGCAGCATTTTAAATTACATAGAAAAATAAAAAGCTTAGATAGTGGTACAACTTTTGTCTTGGGGCACAGCCTACAAGAGCTATGGGATCCTGCCTCACAAGGGTGCTTGTACTCCAGATCAGCAGCACTGGAGAAGGGTGCACACTGCTTGGGCTTCTCCCACCTTAAACCCTGCATGTGGGAAGAAGTGCCAGGCTGACACAATCTGTTGTTACCTGCTGTGTGTCTTCAGGAGGTTGGCACTGAGCAAAGAATGCCTTAGTTCCTTGTTTTCCAAGTGAGCTGGTTGTTTTGATGTTGTGATTTCAATCTTATGCTCATGTAGAAGGATTTGCCATCTCCATAGGTGTGAAATGCTGTCAGGTGCCAGCTCAGGATGAACACCCTGGGCTGATTGGGTTTAGCAGCTTTGCTGGCAGAGTTTTGTGTGGAAGGAGGCCACCATGATAGTGTATCATGTCCACAAGGTGCTCAGTGTGGCACCTCTTCATAAACCTGCTCTGCACTCTTGTGTTTTCACAGTTGTTGAGATCAGCTGAGGTTGTACCTTGCTAAATACCCTTGATAGTTTTCTGTATTTCAGGATGCAAGTTTTGTTAAACAAGCTCCAGGCCCTGTGATGGGATCTCATGGCAGCAGGGAGGCAGTGATGCTGGGAGCACAGGGATTCTGAGTCACACAGGCTGCTGTGTGCAGTACAAGCTGTGCTTTGCCATCAGAGGGGACAAGTGTCCACTGCCTCTCTGTCAGGGAGGGGATAAGAGAACAGCTGTGTGCCTGGAGTGTCACAAGGGAGCATAGATCTGCAAATGTAGGATTAGCAAGAGAAAAATCTACCACTCTGTAGCTCCCATCTGCCTAAAGATTTGTGTGTGCAAAAATAATAGCAGGCATGGGCACATGGAAGGTAGGGTAAGAATGGCTTTACATGTGTTGCCCTTTTTTCTTACCCTGAAGAATTTCTTCCAAGACTGCAGGAGCAGGGAATTTAGATTGTTTCAGCTGGGAGGCAACTCAGGCAATTTTAGTGTGTGAAGAAATGAGGACATTACAGATGTGGGGAGAGATGTGTTCCTTCAGCAAAACCTCATTCACCTGGACAGAGATGGCAGACATGAGCTTCAGCAGGCTGTGCATGACAAGAATTTGTTTCTTGAACTTCCCTGGAGAAGGGCAGCTTTTCCATGTTCTCTGGGGAAGCAAATCTGGGGAAATCAGACCCTTTCAGAAGCTTTAACACATTGCCCAGTAGACAATGCAAGTGAAAAATTACCTTTCCTTGAACAGGTCTTTGAAATCCCTGGCTTTTCTTTAGCTCCATCAGAACAGGCACATTCAGATCCCTCTGTTCATCAGAAGAAAAGATAGTTGCTGTTTGTAACTCTGAGGCTTATTCTATATAGCAGGGAGCAGCATCCCCCAGAGAGGAAATCAAATCAGAGCCCTTGAATCTCCCTCTGGTGCCAAGCACAGCTCTGCCAACCACCCTGAGCAGGATCCTGCTGCCATGGGTGGGACTTCAGCAGGAACAGCAAGGACCTGGCAGGATGGAGGGGGGTAGAACTGCTGGAGCCCCCTGAACCCAGTAATGCTCTCTGAAAAACATCTCCTGTCCCACCTGGGAGGTGGACTAGAAAAGATCAGGTTTGGGGTCAGAGCTGGCATTTCTGCATTGTGTTTATTTCAGAATGAAATCACCCAAGCTGTGTTTTAGGTATTTTTTCTTTTATGTATATAATTAATTAGTTTTGGGAATAAGGGAACAAAGTCCTGTCCCACTTGGCCTGATCCATTTTGTCAGATTTCAGGCAGAGATTGCAGGGAGCCCAGCCTGCAGTCCTGGAAACTGTGGCTGTGGTGACGGCCCTGACCCAGATGCTGGGAGTGCATGACAGCAATGTCATGGGCTCCTCACCCCAGTCAGGGGTGGTGAACTCTCTGCAGCAGCCCAAAGGCATTATCTTGGCAAAATTAGGTCATGAATGGAATGGAATTAATTTTTTTAAATTATCTATGGTCTTATTTAAAATTTGCAAGTAACTGTAATGTTCATTAAGTAATTACAGCCAATAGAACATCTAGCCCTCCAGGCCACTCTTAACCTCTGCAAACTTCTGTTTGTTCTTCCCAAAGTATTGGTTTGATTTTTGAAAATAGACCAGCTCTGGTATCATTGCTCCTGTAAAGGTAAAGAGAACAGTAACTCACACCCCTCCTCAACCTTTCTTAGTCATGGTGAGAGTTTTTGCCTCTTAATACTTTAACTTTAAAGTCAGACACCTTGACAAGCTTTTATTTTTTCACCTGCCACCTGTTTTGACCTCCGCTGAAAAGCAGCAGCTCAGACATAATTACACAGCCTCACTGTGTGACACATTTGGGAGCAGGCTGGGAGACACAGACAGGAGCAGAATGAGTGATTTCCAGGCCACCTTGTCCAGTTGTCAGTCCACTGGTGGTGACTGACAGCTTGGGAGGGAAACTGTCTTGGGAGATGTTGGCAGTTAGGTCAGTCCAGGGAAAACTCTCACAGCTTTTCCATTATCAGCCTCCAGAGTTTCTCTGTGGCTGTTGAATTACAGTCTGGTTTAACATCACCCTGAAAAAGGCCAAAGAGGCATCAGGGATGGTGTTTATAACAGTGCCCAACCATAGAATGGGCTTCAGTCACTTCTCTGTTTGTAAGTTCCTGCTACCAGATTTACCATCCACACACCAACAGCAACCTAAAAACCTCTGGCTTTCCCTGAAGGCAGTGGGTGAAAGCAGGATTTGAACAGTTGGATCTTCCAGTACAGTAAATCTGAGATGCTTAATATTTAAGAAGAAACACCTGTTAGCAATCAAAGCAGTCTGAACAGTTTTCTACAAAGATTTGGGGTTTCTGTATTCTCTTGACTCCTACCAGTTATTGAAATTACTTTCCTTTTACTTTATTAACAGTTTTAACAAATGAAACAGATTACAGAACATCTGAAGGATTTCAGGAATAGTCTTCTGCTGTGCAAGAAGGGATTTGGTTGCTTTGGGCAAAGGTCTGAGTGGGCTTGGTGCCTCTGCTCTTGTTGTGTTATTGGCAGGAAGAGCCTTTGAGGAGATTGGTTTGCTGCAGGGTGATGCTGGAGATCTCCAGGTGTGTGGGGCATCTCTGATTCATTTCTAGTACTTGTGCTTTGAGAACATTAATGCTGCATTCAACAGGATCAACTTTGTTTTGCAAGGTGGGAAGGAATCCTGTTGCCATGGGAAAGCCCAGTTCATGCAGAAATTACAAGATTGCTGCAGTACAACAATGCCCCACATTGCTGAAAAGGTTTTTTGTTAGGTATTCTCAAATAAGATGGGATTATTTTTTAAGCAGAAGGGTAACTTGACATGCTTTTAATGGTTGGAAAAGGGAATAATTGGATTTTCTTTGAAATGCAGAGGTTCCTTTTCTAGAGAGCAGCTCTGAGATAAAAAGATTACATATGTTTGTTTGAAGAGTATTGTATTTTTTTTTTGTACTAAAGTAACTGTACTTTGTTTTTCTCTTTTTTAGCAACTTCAGGCTCAGGCTCGGGCACTGATAATGTTTGCTGGGATGATCCCATACAGAACATCAGGAGACACAAATGCAAGACTGGTGCAAATGGAGATCCTCATGAATTAGCAGCAGCTTGGCTGGGGTGCAGCAGCCTGTGCCTGTCTGTAGTACGTTCAGAGGGCCCATGGGACCAGTGTCATTTTTTGTATTCTGTATTTTTGTTGACAGAAATAAATTTCTTTGGTTTTGATATTTGTTTTTGACATTTTAATTTCCACTGATTCCTGTGTTTTTATGTTTTTATTAATTTTATTTTCAGTTGGTTTGCATTTAGAAATTTATTCTTAATTAGTTAATAGGCTATGGAAAAAAAGAAATCATAGCTCTGTAGTAGGGACAGGAATTTTATAGCAGAAGAGGATATGGAGAAGAAAACTCTGATTTGTTGCTAAATGTACTTAGAGTTGAGATGCTTTAGGGGGTTTTGGATGCATGTTAAGTGTTGAAAATGTGTGTGATGCCTCAGTCCCCCTGTGACACACTGCCATCAGTCTGTCCCGTTGTCTCGTGTGGCACGTGTGCTGCTGCTCTGTGTGCTGCACAGACCCCCTGTGCTGAGCCAGGGGCTCACAGCCCTGCAGCTCTGCTGAAGCTTCTGCAGGAACAGCTGGGTTGGAAACAGGTATCTCTTGGTGGGAGAGTTTTTTGTGAGCAACACATGAATTTTAGTCAGTTGCATTCCAAGTGGGCCCCTGTGGAGTTCATCAGAAGTGAGGAAGCTTAGCCAGAGAGGCCCAGGTGAGGCTGTGCTGGGTGTGGGTGGATATTACTGTTGCTTTAGCAGGAAATGTGAGCCCTACAAAAGCAAAGGGCTTTAAAAATGGTTACCTTTAAGTGTTTTGAGCTGCAATTAAATGAGAGGGAAAGCCCAAGGAGCATGTTACAGTAGAAGTTTGTAGTTTTATTGTAACTGCCTATCTTTGAAAAAAATGGGAGGAATGTTGATGGTTGCTCTTGCTGCTCCCCTGCTGCTGTCTCACCCTCTTGTGTTACTGGGGTATGAGAACATGAGGCATTTGGAATGCAGACCAGGCAGCAAAATATAGGGGCTGATTTCAGCCTTTGTATGGTAATAGCTGTCTTGGGAGAGAATTCATCTCCATTTTGCAATGTCTTTGTTTACTGGGATGGAGAAATTTCTGACTGACATTGATGACAATTTTCCTCATTACTTTTTTCACCAGAAATGTTGTAGCATAAGTTTTGTCCACCTTTTGGACAGGAAGCAAAGGGCTTGCCAGTCACCCCAGTCCCTGTCTCTCAGCATTAGCAAACCAGCTGCTGGGCTCTCAGAGGATAGAGCTAGGGATTGTGTACAGCATGGAGTGCTCCTCTAGCATGGCCAGGACTGTCCCAACTGAAGGCTGAGGGAGACCTGGACAACACCCTGCAGGTAAAGGGGAGTTGGTGAGTTACCAAGGAGTTATTTGGGAGTGGGCTGGAATTGCCAAACAAACATGTCAGCAGGTGAGTGGAAAGCTGTATTGCCTGTTAACATTTCTGGTATATTTGTGTGGAAATGCTTCTTGGCATATCTCAGGTAAGAACTGATCCCATTCCCTGGAGAGCAGGCACCTTCCCTGCTGTTTGTGGGCAGTGGTGGTGGGGCCAGGGCTGCCCCAGGTGCAGTCCTGAAGGATGTCCCTGCTCCTGTGTTTTCCTTGCTGGTGCTCAGCCCCTGTCCCTGAGTTACTCCCAGCGTGAAATCACCTCCCATACAGAGTCTGGCAGGTCTGCACCTGTCCTCAGGCAACCACTGACCTGAGCAAGAGAGGGACAATGTTTGCTGGAGTCTGGGAAGGGAAAGGGCCACGTTCCCCACTGTAATTCCCTCTCCCTGATCTGCCATTCATGCAGGAACAGAAGTCCTTTGGGGCTCAGCTCTTAGTGCTGCCATTTCAGGACCTTGTTCTGATGTCCAGTGTGGAACCTGGGGACTTTCTGTAAGCAGTACAGTACACTTTCTCCATCTGCCCTTCAAGGAGGCTATAGCAGGTGCTTTCTGGTGCTTCTCAGCCTTCTTGGGTGTTGGGAAAGTTGATGTCTGTACAAAGTTTCCTCTCTTTGTGCCCAGAGGTTGTGATTCCAGCCTTTGGCCGCTTTTTAAGCTCATCAGAAACTGAATTATTTCATGCTTTCAAAATCCAAGATGATACTTCTGTGATGGACAGATGGGAAATAAACCCCAGGGAGTCCAAGTCCCAAGATTAACCCTGAAAAGGTAAGACCAGCCCTATTTCCATCAAGGTAAGAGATTGTGGGTATAACAGAAAGAGCCACAGATATTTGGAGTTAATTTATTACTTGTTGATTGCCCTGTGATTTCTCCTTAGGTGATGAATGTTACATCCCATCCATCTTCCCACATTCCCCAGAGTGGCAGGTTCCAGCTCAGTGCCTGAGCCTGGCTCTGGCAGACCTGCATGACTCCAAGGGCTTTGAGGTAGATGCTGATGCACATTGTGTGCTTTGCTGAATAAGGCACCCCCATGGTTTTCCAGATGTCCCTCTTTTCCCTCCACATCATGCTTATTCTGCTGGAGAGAACAATCAGCTTCTGCTCCTTCAGGTTTTGCACCATCACTCTGACTTTGCTAATTTACAAGTTTAGCCTTTTCCGAATAGCTTATGTGCTGGAAGGGTTTTTTGGGGTGTCACTAAACTCATGCCTTTTGTTTGGTATAGTCTGTGGTGTCACCATGCACTCCCTTTACAACAGGGAGTAGTGCACAAGGTGCAGCAGAGCCAGGGATGTTCATCTGAGCTGAATCCATTCTGAGTAAAAACTGACAAATCTTCTCTATGTCAGTGGAGCTCTGCTCTTTATACACAAAGCAAGCACAAATTAAGTTTAGGATAATTCCATCTGCTTTTTCCTACTTTGGGACTAATCCCTGGCACTAAAGATCCTCCAGGTAGATGAGATGCATCCCAAGGGTGACTCATTGGTTTGAGTCAAATACAGTTGAAGCTTGTGTTGCTGGAGGAGATTAGAGGGAAAAGTGAAAAGGTGTTTGCTGTGAGAGCATGCAACAATCTTGTTCTGGTGTGGGTGCAGCAGAGGCGGGCAGTCTCCAGGTCTGTGTTCTACAGTGTGTGTGGCTCTGAAACATCCACACATGCTGCAATTCCAGCACAGCAGCTCCTAAAGCTGCACCTCCTCCAAGGTCCCAGGGCTGAGTGAGATGGTCTGGTTTTACAGGGGAGTTGCAGGGAAATCCAGAAATACTTACTGTAAAGTTCTGCTCTATGTTACCTGCCCAGTAGGGAAAAAATTAGTTAGAAGTTCTGCCCAGGGTTAACCTGGTAAGAACTACACTGAGCTAAGGGAAGACAGTCAGCTCCTGTGGGAATTGGCACTGCTGAAATGTGCCTCGATGGCCTCTTAAACACTAAGAAAGCTGGTGCCAGTGGGTCCTGTCTTCTCAGCTGGCCCTGCAAGGTTTTTCTAGTCCAGACAACAAAATGAATCCTTTTAAATATTTTCACCATTACCCCAGAATATGCTGGCCATAGTCAGGGTACTTGCCTATGGGTTACATTCCTACTCCTCTGCCTTTTCTTGGATTTCCCTGCTGAATGCAGATTTTGCATGTCAATCTGATTTTTCATTATGTTTTCCAGACCCCCTGGCTGGAGTAGACCTGCTAAATGAGGTGACTTCTCTGTTCACCACCATTTCCTACTACTACTGCATTTGTCTAAGACATTGCTTGGACCTTGTTCCTTGCAGGAGCTGAAGGAATTGTGTTCAGAAAAAGTTAATTCAATGCACTTCTTTTGGTTTTGTTACTCTCCTAACCCTTGTCACCCCAGCCTATCAAAGAAGCAAAATGTTTTCCTTCCAGCCTGGAAGAAGTGAGAGGGTATTGTTAATTCCAGTTCTGTGTCCCTGGCGTGGGACAGCACTCAAATACTGCCTCTGTTCATGTCCCTGTGCCAGCATTTTTGTCCTCTTTCTCTCTGGGTTTGAAGTTGGAAAGATAGAAATGGTGTCTGGAAGAGATGGGAGATGACCTGTGTGTTCCCACTGGGAAAGGTTACTGGCAGCTGGCTGAATCACCATATCTCTTCTTTTCACAGGCTTCCTTTGCTGTGGTGCTGAGAAGTTGAGTCTGCTCTGCACGGTGGGTTTGCAGTGCTGAGCCCCTGCATCATTTGTGTGTCCTGTGTCACTCAGGGTGGGTTCTCTCTTCCACAGGGATGGAAACAGGTCAATTAAAACTTCATTGAAGCCTTTTGGAATGTAACACTTAGGCAGTCTTTAAAAGAAGCTGTGTAATGCACTGCACCATGCTCTGCTTTACTCGATTTTGGGTTCATTTGATGCATTTAATACCCAGAACAAACTGGGGGATCGGCTGGAAGTGAGGGGAAGCCGTGCAGAAACAACTTGGCAGCTGTTCCGTGTGAGTGGAGGGGCTGGGGGGAGGCTCGGAGCGCCCTCCCTGCCGCAGCTCCCAGCGCCGCCGCTGCCCCGGTATTGTTGCTGCAGCTGGTGTTGTGAATCAGGCCGACGGCAAGCGCTTCCTACAATCCGGCTATTTCACCACACCAGGGTTGCATCATACCACTCGCTTCGCTCCTCGCCCGCCTCCGGAGCCCTCCTGTGCCTTCCGGAGCATCTCTGGCTGTGCTGTGTTTAACAGACTCCTCACTAATAGACTGATTTCTGCTGCTTTTGGCAAATCAGTGGTTTTGATGAAACGGTGAGGTTCTAAAATAAAGCCGCTTCTGCTGGGTGTGAGTCTGCTGGTGCATCTGTTGTGAGAGGAGGCTGGTGTCCACTTTGTGGAGGTTTTTGTGTGAGGTGCTCTGGGGTGAGACTCTCCCCTCATCCCCACCTGGCCCTTGTCCCTGCTCTCCGGGCTCTGAGGTGCCCTGCAGTGCTGCGAGGGCTGAGCAGGGATGCACACCGGGCTGCTGCCCTCAGCTTCCCCCGGCTGCGCGGGGCTTGGCTGATCACAGCCGTCTGCCCTCACACAAACAAGGGGGCTGGAGCAAGTCCTCAAAAATCAGGTCAAAATTTGTGTGTGAATGCAAAGACAGCCAGAGGCAGCACGGCAGGCAGGCCCAATTTTCCATTAACTTGCAAAGCCACACGGAGCTGAAATTCCAATGGGCTGCCCTCGAACTTTATTGCTGGCCTTGTTTGCTGTCTTTGCTGATCTTATCTGTAACTGCTTTGGTGGCACATGTGACAGGGGCTGGGGAGTGAAACAAGCACCCATCCGTCCCCCTGTCCTCAGCTCCTGTCGCTGTGGGGTTATGGCCACACAGCTTCATCTCGTGTTTTGTGTGATGGGAGCAAGGGTTTAAGTGGCTTGTTGACTCAGGGATGGAACTGGGGGCAGTTCTGAGCCCTGGGGGCTCAGTGATACCCTATCCCAGGATCTGGAGGGGAAAGGGGCTGTGGGACCATGGGGATCTCTGCTGCCTGGTACTGAGAGCTGCCAGCTCCCAGCCCTGGACAAGCACAGACGCTGTCTTCTCCAGCAGCCTGGAATCTGAGTTCCAGCGGGAGCATCCCTCAGATCCCTTGATGTCACACTCCCCCCTTCCCCCTGGTTTCACTGTGAGATAAAGGCTGTTCCCCTGCCCACATCCGGCCCAGCTCAGTGCCACAGGCAGCACCTTGGAGACCAGTCAGGATGATTTACGAGATCTGACGGGTCTGGGGCAGTATCCCAGGGAAGGGCGAGGGTGCGTGGGAGTCTTGCTCCCTTTTTCCATAATAAATCCCTGTGAACTGAATGTTCCTGGGTTGGGGCCGGAGGCAAACTCAGCGCTGCATTTCTCTGCTGATCTGTCCTTGGGACTTAATCTCAAATCCGTTATCGCTGCCCCCATCGAGTGCTGGGAGGCAGTGATGCCCATTATGGTGGTTTTGGTATCCCTTCCAGCTATTTTTTTCCCCCTGACCAGCTTGAGGTGGTTCAGGCTGATTCCTTTCCTCTATTAGCATCAGTGGTGGGTGTGTGCCGGTCACCTCGCTCCGGTTTTGCGGGGTATAAAGCCGGCAAGCCCCTCTCCACCCTGTCCCCACCTGGCAGGCTGCTGGGCAGGGGCAATGGCCGAGCTGCCCATCCCAGATGTGCCCCCAGCCCGCTGCAGCGGCCGCTTCACCATCAGCACCCTCCTGGGCATGGAGGAGGGGGGCCGGGGTCCCTACACACCCACTGAGGGCTCCAGCTGCGACAGCGCCCAGCCCACCCAGCTGTCCAGCAGCACCCTCTGCACCAGGACCTTCGGCTACAACACGGTGGATGTGGTGCCAGCCTACGAGCACTACGCCAACAGCAAGGGGGTGGGCGACCCCAGGAAGGGCAGGCCCTCACTGGCTGACCTGCACTCCATCCTCAAGGTAACAGGGGGCTTGGCTGTACCCATAGCATCTCTGGCATCCCCTGGCCATGCTGCCGGTCCCTGCAAAGTGTCTGGTGGGTCACTGTCTCCTGCCTCTTGGTGCCATAACTGGTGCTGTGCTGACTGCATATCCCCAAGAAGGCCCTGAGAGAAGCCAGAGAATCCAGCTGTGTGCTCAGCCAGAGCATTGCCTCCAGGGACAGCTGCCTGAAGTTCACCCTCACCTGCCTTCCCCTCGTCCCACAGCCTGACCCGAGCCACCTTCGCACGCCGGTGTCGGACCTGCAGCACAGCAATGGGCTGCCAGAGGCCGGGCTGGAGGCTGGCCTGGAGGAGGCGGAAGGGGAGCCAGGTAGAGACTCCGAGCCAGAACCTGTCCGCTTTGGCTGGGTGAAGGGCGTCATGGTGAGTGTGACCATCCCCCACGAGCATCCTCCTGCCCTCCTACCTCGTAAGCATTTTACCCTTGTTGCATTTTCCCCAATGTCTATATTTTTGCAAGCACATGTGCTTTGAGCAATTCCCTGCCCTCCTCGGTGGGGTGGTTTTCTCTGAGGAGCAGCAGAGCTGGCATGGTTTGGCCATCCCCAGGTGCCAGTGCCCTGATGGCTAGGTCCCCTCTGTCCCCCTCAGATCCGCTGCATGCTGAACATTTGGGGAGTTATCCTCTACTTGCGCTTGCCCTGGATCACCGCCCAGGCAGGAATCGGTGGGTGCTGTGGTTCACCGTGGGCTGGATAGTGGCACTGGGCCCATCATCACCCAGACACCTGGGGGGTGGTGGGACTCTAGGGAAGGCTGGGGGTACCGCAGTGAAGCAATGCCCTTTCCCCACAGCCCTGACGTGGCTCATCATCCTCATGTCTGTGACAGTGACCACCATAACCGGCTTGTCCATCTCTGCCATATCCACCAATGGCAAAGTGAAGTCAGGTAGTGTGTTCCTTCCCAGCCACTCCAGGGGTCTCTTTATCCTGGGGCTGCCCCATGCATGTGACTCCTGGCATGGGCTGTGAGGTGTGGGGGAACCCCAAAACGTGGGGGAAGCAGTAATGCCATGGGTGTTCCCTGCCTCAGGAGGCACCTACTTCCTCATCTCACGGAGCCTGGGGCCGGAGCTGGGCGGCTCCATCGGGCTGATCTTTGCCTTTGCAAACGCCGTGGCCGTGGCCATGCACACAGTGGGCTTTGCTGAAACTGTCCGGGACCTGCTGCAGGTAGGAGAGCAGCTCTGGGTCCTCTGGGTCCCAATGTCCCCCCTACCCCTCCATCCCCGCCTTCTCCTTGCACAACCTGTGTTGATTATCAATATTTGCATTACCATTGGACCACTGATAATCAAACAGTGGCTGCTAAAACTCAGAAGAAACGTGGTTTGGTTAGAAAGAGTGTTATTTCCATGTTGTGAATAGTTCCCTTTCCTCAGGAGCACAATTCCCTCATCGTGGACCCCACCAATGACATCCGAATCATTGGGGTCATCACTGTGACGGTGCTGCTGGGCATTTCCCTGGCTGGCATGGAATGGGAAGCCAAGGTAACCCTCTCTCCTGCTCACATTTTTCTCCTGGGCTGATAAGAGGTGTCCCTGCTGGCCACCAGGCATCTGAGGAGCAGATGCCTGTAGCTCCCCAAAAATGGGCATGGATTTCTCCAAATGCATTCTTCACTCTTTCTATGCCCCAATGCCCAGTTCTTCAGCTGGCTCTTTCTGGTCTGGCAGGCACAGATACTGTTCTTCCTGGTCATCCTGGTTTCCTTCATTAACTACCTGGTGGGGACAGTGATCCCAGCCACTGCTGAGAAGCAAGCAAAGGGCTTCTTCAGCTACCGAGGTGGGTCCACCACAGTCTGGGATTGCACTCAGCAGGTCCAAGTGCATCTCTGGAGCCTGGCTCTTTGCTGCAATTTGGGGAGAGCACTGAGCTAGTGCTAATGTGCTTTAGCCAGGAAAAAAGTAGCCAAGAGGCCTTAAATGCTTCTCCTCTGCTTCCTCCCTAGCTGATATCTTTGCTCAGAACTTTGTGCCCAACTGGCGTGGACCTGAGGGCTCCTTCTTTGGCTTGTTTTCCATCTTCTTCCCATCCGCAACCGGCATCTTGGCTGGGGCCAACATTTCAGGTGACCTGAAGGTGAGTTGTGACTCTTGCTGCCTGAGCCAGTGTTTCTCGGGGCTCAAGCCCTTTTTTTTCCTGTGGCTTTCATTTTGAGCCAACCTTTGGATTTTGTTTTATTTCTTATGGAAACTTTGGGCTCAGCCAGGAGATGTTCTGTGGCTTTGTGATACAGTGAATTAAAATTCCTCCTGTACAGCAGCCACAAATAAGCTGCCTACATTAGCACTGCTGCTGGAAAGCTGTCTTACATATCTCTGCAACTCCCTTGGGCAGGATCCTGCTGTGGCCATCCCCAAGGGCACCTTGATGGCCATCTTCTGGACCACGATGTCCTACCTGGTGCTTTCTGCTACCATTGGTAAGTGGGGCTGGGTGGGTGGGCTGGCCCCTACCCAAAATAGGTGGCCTGGGAGGAATCAGATGTGTAGGAGCCAGTAGCAAGCTGTGGACACAGGCATTGATATCCCAGTGTGAGTGCCACAGGTTCCAGACCCTGTTCCTACCCCCACATGGGGCAAAGTCATCTTGGGTGGGCAGTGGGGCTCCTGGCATTGCTCAAAGCCCCATGAGGGACATGGGAGTTGTCACAGGCAATGGGATTTGGGGCTGGGCTTCCTGAAACCATGGAGAGGTGCCAGCCCTCCTCTGGCCCTGTGTGTCCCCCAGGTGCCTGTGTGGTGCGAGATGCCTCAGGCAGCCTGAACGACAGCGTGGCCGTGGGTTCTCCAGGCTGTGAGGGGCTGGCCTGCAGCTTCGGCTGGAACTTCACTGCCTGTGCCCAACAGCAGAGCTGCCGATATGGGCTCAGCAACTACTACCAGGTACTGCTCAGAATCATGGCCAGCCCCTGTTCCTGCTCAGGTCTGTGTGGCAATGGATGGTTTTCCCAGGCAGCTGCATGCCTGGCACCTCCCTGCCATCCTGGGGGGCACCCATGCTCTTGAAACAGCCATTTTTTAACAGGAAGGCACCAGGGAGTGGGCTTTTGGATGTGGCTGGACTTTGCTGCCTGGATAATATTAAAGGAAATGCAGCAGGATGGGGCCTAGGGGTGGAAATCCCTCAGGGTTGGGGTGGAGGTTGGTGCATCAGAGATGCTGGGGTTCCTGATCCCCTGGTTTTCATGCAGAGCATGAGCATGGTGTCTGGATTTGGCCCCCTCATTACAGCAGGAATCTTTGGTGCTACCCTCTCCTCAGCATTGGCCTGCCTTGTCTCAGCCCCCAAAGTCTTCCAGGTGAGGGGGTGGTGTCTGCACGCCCCAGCTCGTCTCCCTGAGCTCAGCAGTGGGTGATGCCCCTTGGTGCAGGGCTCTGCATCTGTGAGCAGCCCTGGGGCAAGGAGGATGCTGCTGTCAACACAGGGCATGGCTCTGGTTTGGCCCTTGCTCTTAGGGATGCAGGAGCCACCATGACACTGCCATCCCGTGTCCCTGGCAAAGCCTGCTGTCCCCACTGAGTCTCTTTTTGCAGTGTCTCTGCAAGGACCAGCTCTATCCTCTCATTGGCTTCTTTGGGAAGGGCTATGGGAGGAACAGCGAGCCCATCCGTGGCTACATGCTCACCTATGTCATTGCTGTTGGCTTCATCCTCATCGGTGGGTGCTTGCTGCCCTGGTACTCTCCTGCAGCCCGCCACCAGCAGGGTGGCTCAGTCTCCACCACTGACAGCTTGCTCTCTTTCTCCCCCTCCCACAGCCGAGCTCAATGCCATCGCCCCCATCATCTCCAACTTCTTCCTCTGCTCCTACGCCCTCATCAACTTCAGCTGCTTCCACGCCTCCATCACCAACTCCCCAGGTGGGCTGTGCCCCGCCTGCCGTGCCCTGCGGCGGCGGCTCCCGGTGCGGCTCCCCCTCCCGGCAGCGGCTCTCTGTGTGTGTGTTTGCGTGCAGGCTGGCGACCCTCCTTTCGGTATTACAGCAAGTGGGCTGCACTCTTTGGAGCTGCTGTCTCAGTGGTGATCATGTTCCTGCTGACCTGGTGGGCAGCCCTCATTGCCTTCGGCATCGTCATCTTCCTCCTGGGATATGTCCTCTACAAAAAGCCAGGTGGGTGGTGGTAACCTGGCACTGGTGATGCCCCAGAAGGTGTCTGGCCCTGTTGCTAATCCATCCTCCCCATGCAGATGTCAACTGGGGCTCCTCCATGCAAGCCAGCTCCTACAACATGGCCCTCAACTACTCAGTGGGGCTGAGCGAAGTGGATGAGCACATCAAGAACTACAGGCAAGAGCAGCTCATTGCAGTGCTGGGCATGGAGGGAGTGGGGTGGAAGAGCCAGCTCCTGCCTCCTTTAAACCCAGGGAGGCATCATGCCCATGGCCACACCCTCACCACCACCCTCAGTAACCAGGAGCTACAGCAAAATATGTATGTCTCCAAAATCCCATGTCTGCACAATGTAAGGTAGAAAACTGGGCAAACCCTGCCATCCGTGTACCAGGCAGACACAGACACATTGGTCTCATCTGCTATAAAATAACCAAAGAGTGAGACCAGATCCTCAGGCCACATAGTGTTTTCTCATTCTAAAGGTGCTCCCTATAGGTGCCACTGGCCAAGCATGGGAGAAGAAACATGGCTCATTCCAAAAGGGCTGGATACCTCCAAAGTACTATTCCTTACTCCCTTTTCCCCCTTCCTGCAGACCACAGTGCCTGGTGCTGACTGGCCCACCCAACTTCCGCCCAGCACTGGTGGATTTTGTGGGGACCTTCACCAAGAACCTCAGCCTGATGCTCTGTGGCAACGTGCTGATTGTGAGTCACCTGCAGGAGCTGGTTGGGTCCTTGTCCTGGGGGGCTCTCGCTACCAGTGGGTGGTGGGCTGGGAAATCCAGTTGTATCCTGCTGGATACAGGGTGGAGGTTGAAATGTGCCCACTTGTGTGCTGCTGGATGATGAAATGTGTCAACTGGAAGCCCCTCTGAGTTATTAAGCAATATTGGTGAAGCATCAGAATGTCCCTGTGGGCTTATGGCTTCCCTTTGCCAATTAATTGCAGAAGATTTGGAAGGATGAAGTAGTTGCTCAGAGAACAAGGGGGTTCTGCAGCCCTGAAGGCTCCAGAGCAATTGGGTGCAGTAAGAACCAGCTCATCTGCACCCACAGGACTGTTGGGATTGTGTGCACTGGCTGTTGACTCCCCGGATTCACTGGTTTTCTTCGCTGTGATTGCCACCTCCCATGTGTGCAGTGGTTACATCCACCTCTTGCCAATGATTTGGGAAGAGAGGAGCTGGAATTCCTTGGTGGCAAGACTTGTTGCAGTTGGAAAGGGCTGCCTGAGCTCCTGCTCCTGATTCCTGCAGGGCCCGCGGAAGCAGAAGATGCCGGAGTCCCGGCTGATGGCAGATGGCCACACTAAGTGGCTAATGAAGAGGAAGATCAAGGCCTTCTACACAGATGTGGTGGCTGAGGATTTGAGAAGTGGTGTCCAAATGCTCATCCAGGTACAGCCATCACTGGCCTTCCAGCAGCAGGGTCCCTCCTCTTTGTCACAGCTTGGGGGAGTTCTGACCTCTCTCCACGATCTCCAGGCACCCCCATTTGTGTTGCTCCCCCATCGAGTGGACTGACACCACCTGTGTCCATCTGTCCCTGCAGCGGGGACTCATGGGGACATGTATCCATAGGCTGCTGGCCTCGGGAAGATGAGACCTAACATCTTAGTGCTGGGCTACAAGAGGAACTGGCGGACGGCATCTCCCGAGAGCCTGGAGGACTACGTGGGCATCCTGCAGTACGGCCACACTGGCTCCTCCACCTCCTGGGGACACTGGCACCTGCTGGTGGCCTCACTGACGGCTGCAGTCACGTGCTCAGGGTCCAGCTGGGCTGAGAGTGCACCCTCCATTAACTCCCTCTCCTCCCTCCTTCCAGCGACGCGTTCGATTTCAAGTACGGCGTGTGTGTAATGCGGATGAAGGAAGGGCTGAACGTTTCCCGAGTGCTGCAGGCACATGGTAGGTGGCTTTGGTTGGCCAGGGATACACAGAGTCATGGAGCTGTGGGGTGTGCCAGCCAGCACCACATCCCCAGACAAAGGCCACAGTCCTGGCAGGACGTCACTCCTGTGCTGGGATCAAAGGGATGGGGACAGTGAGGCACTGCTGTGCTGCCCTTGCTCTTCTCCTCCCTCCTCAGTTAACCCCACGTTTGAGGCAGCAGAGCACCCCGAGAATGGCACTGGCAGCAGAGCAGCCCCAGGCACAGGTAGGTTGGTCCTAGCTTGTGACCACCCAGAGCATCCCCAGCTCTGAGGATTATTTTGCAGGCAGGGTGGGGGTTTCAAACCCTGGGGAGCAGCGCTGGGACCAGGAAGAAGTGATGCCTTTAATCTGTGGCTGGTGGTGCCCTTTGCTGATACCAGGACGCTCTTGCCCCAGCAGCAGACCCCACCACCTTGGCCAGTGAGCAGCAGGCAAGCACCATCTTCCAGAGCAAGCAGGGCAAGAAGACCATTGACATTTACTGGCTCTTTGATGATGGAGGTAACCTTCACCTTCTATCTGTCCAGATAATGTGAGCCCAGCACCTCCATTGTGGTGCTTAGGAGAGCTCAGTCCTGCCAAATGGTGCCAGGGCATCCCTGGCCCTTGGCACCAAGGAAGGAAGCACTGGTGAGCCTGGGGGTCACTGCTGCATTCCCACTGGGTGTTCTGGGGCCAGGTCTCACACTGCTCATCCCCTACCTGCTGGGGCGCAAGAAGCGCTGGGGAAAGTGCAAAATCCGGGTGTTTGTCGGCGGGCAGATCAACAGGATGGACGAGGAGAGGAAGGCGTAAGTGCTGGTGGCCGCTGCAGCTCTTGGCCACTGCCACTGTCCTGTGGCTGGTGACACAAGCTGCTTCCCATCCTGCTGAGCCCTCCCATTTTTGCCATAATGTGAGCTCTGACCTGGCTGCTTTGCCTCATTTCTCTGGAAATCAATGTGGCTGCAGAGTGGGAAAATCCAAAGTGCAAACTGAGGCCAGCAGCAGGGTTCTCTGCTGTGGCAGGTCCTGGTCAGAGCTACCATTCCCTGCTAACTTTGGGAAAATCTGTCCTTTTCCCTCCATTAGGATCGTCTCTCTACTGAGCAAGTTCCGCCTCGGCTTCCATGAGGTCCACATCCTCCCTGACATCAACCAGAAACCCCGGCCAGAGCAGTAACCACCCCCCTTCCCTTCCCCGTGCCCCCACAGCGCCCCCAAACCTGCCCAAACCCTCTTCCTTGGCACTGTCTGCTTGTGTTGCAGCATCAAGAGATTTGATGAACTCATCGCTCCCTTCAGGCTGAACGATGGCTTCAAAGACGAGGCCACAGTGAATGAGATGAGACAGGGCTGTCCCTGGAAGATTTCTGATGAGGAGGTCGATAAAAACAGGGCCAAGGTAGCAACAGTGCTAGGGGAGCTCCTGCAAAGGGCCTCCTGCTTTTCAGACAGAATTTAGTCTTTCTGGAAACCATTATTTTGTGTTTCTCAATGCTCTTTGCTCCACAGTCGCTCCGACAAGTGAGGCTGAATGAGATTTTGCGGGATTACTCACGGGATGCAGCACTTATAGCCATGTAAGTGCCAATAATGCCCTCATGCCTGTTTCTTGCCCCATGGGAATCATCCCTCGGGATGTTCACCCCTCCCTGGGTGGGGAGGTCCTGCACAGACACCCTGATTCTCTGGTGAGAATGCTGCACCACAGGGAAAACCCTTGGAAGACACCACGGGCTCCAGCTGGGGTCCTGTCGGGTGGGAGGATGTGGTGTTGGCCCTTTTTAGGGAATAACCTGCACTGGACTGAGACGGGGCAGTGTCGGGCTCGGTGCCGGCCCTGCCTCACGCCCCTCCCCGCTGTCTGCAGCACTCCGCCCATCGGCAGGAAGGGCCGCTGCCCCAGCTCCCTCTACATGGCCTGGCTGGAGACCCTCTCTCAGGACCTGAGACCCCCCATCATCCTCACACGAGGAAACCAAGAGAATGTCTTGACCTTTTACTGCCAATAAAACCTCCTGCATTCCTGATGACTTGGGATGTGAATTTTTCAGGCCAGTTTTGATCCTGGAGCACGCTCCTCTGGGAGTCTCGGGGAGCAGTGAAGGCATGGTGGTTACCAGCCCTCTGGAAGTGCCCACCAGGCACAGCTGCCACCCTCTTACAAATGTTTGTCCCATCTCAGGCTGAGGAGGTTGTACATCTATAAACAGCAATGCTGGCCCTGCAGTGCAGGGGTTAGCCAGAGCCAGGCAGGGGAGCTGTGGGCTCCTGCACCTGCACGCCCAGGAGAGCCCAGGTGCCGTGCAGGGACTGAACGCTGGCCCAGCAAAGCCACTGGCCCAGGGTGGAACAGCCCCAGGGGCTGGGAGCAGTCAGCACCAAGCCTAGGGGCTGCAGGGCCCCAGCATGTCCCCTCAGGGACAGGGACCACAGCTAAGCCTGTCCCCAACAAGTGAGCAGCAGTGAGAGGTCACCTCAGACTGTGGTGCCTGGCTGCAGGTGCAGGTCCAGCTCCTCATACAGACAACATTTACCAGCAGAACCAGGACACTTCTGGTGCAGATGGCCCCAAGCAAAGCAGGAGTGCAGCTCATTTGCTAAAGCACAACCCTTGTCATGCTGCAGAAGAAACACACAACACTGATTCACCTCAAGAGTTACAGAATTTACTGATAATCACCACCAGGATTAGGAGTGTCAGTAGAAAAATAAAATGTACAGATTTTCAATCATACAAAGATTTGTTCATGACAGCTGCAGGTGTGTGCAAGAGGAAGCTAGGTGTGGGCAGAGGGGATGTCACACACAGGGAGCCTCAGCATGTGTGGGTGTTCCTCCAGGGCAGCTTCTCCAGAAGGTGTTTCCTTAACCAGCACACAGGCTGGGCTCCCCAGCAGAGGCCCACAGCACTGCTGAGCCCAGGACACCTCAGTGTTGATGTTTTTGCCAGCTCTTTGCAGTTTTTGACAAGTTTGACTGTGCAAAGTCTACCAATACCTGATGAAAATTGAAGGGATTCCTCCATATGCCTCAGCTGGAATAAAGGAATGGAAAGGGAAGGCCAAAGCAATGAGGGGAGGAAACAGCCACCAGTGCTTCAGCTCAAGGCTTCTCCTCCTTTCTGTTTAGCTCTGGTTTTACTGGAGAGGGAGGTTGCCAGCAGCAGCCAGCAGAGTGCAGGATGCTCTGTGAGCACCACAGTGACACAAAGAACTTGCCTCCTGTGCTCATGTGTCCAGACAAATCTGCTGATTGTTCACCTTTTATGCAAGAATTCCCTGAAAATTTCACAGCATCCAGGCATAGAGAGACATTGCCAGCTCCAAACACTCCAAACAGGGTCAAGCTGCCAACTCTTCAAGTAAACCAGAACCCCCTCAAAAGAGACTCAGAGATCCCAAGAGACAGAAAATGGGAGGTTTTCAGTTCATCCAGCACTGAGTGACTTTACTGAGCAGCTTTCACTTGTTCTGAGCTCTGTAACAGCTCCCCCATTTGTGTCCTGCACCCTGTTCCTGCAAGGCCTGTTCCTGCAAGGAAACCTCCTCCTGCTCTGCACAGGGCACATGGATAAAGTGCTTTCTCAGTTGCAATCAGCTTAATGGCTATTGAGTGGTGCCAGGCACCAGTGCAGGGTGAAGCAGAGCACAGCAGCTGCTCAGGACATCGGTGTCTGCTGTCACCCGAAAGGTAAAGCCAGACCCACCCTATTCAAATTCCATGAGATACTTTTAATCCATCCAGGAAAACACAGGAAAACTCCTGTAAATTAAACTGTGCACTCTGTACACATGCTGAAACCTGAAGTGGGAAGGGGGAAAAGAAAGAAAGTTTATTCCTTCTTTTTCATTGTTTCTGCCCTGGCAGGAAGACTGGCTCTCTGCAAGCAGCACAGCACTCAGGGCTCTCCACAGATCCAGGGTTTAGTGTATGTTACACCACTTGGACCTCAGCCACCTAAGGAGAGGGATTCACATTAAATTCTTTCCTAAACTGTGCATCTATACTCCCTGAATTAACATAGGCTAAAATTTAGAGTAATCTCAGTTAGTAGCTCCTGCAAAACACCTCCCACCATTGACAGACCGCTCTTGAGGAGTCAGTGCACAGAGAAACCTTTTTCCATGATAAACACAGTGCCCTGCTGAAGGGTACAGAATCAATTTAGTTTAGAAAAGCCCTCTAAGATCCTGTCCAGCCTTTGACTGGTCACCACCTCATCATCCAGACCATGGCACTAAGTGCCACCTCCAGTCATTCCAGCACTGAGGAGATGGTAGATAAATGGCCCTAGGAAATGCTGCAGGTATCAAAGGGACTGATTTGGAAACCAGAGGAGTTCAATGAACACACAGATGGGAACTGTCCCTGAAAGGCTGGACACAGACAGTGCTTCCCTCTGCAGCCCACACGTGTGAGCTGGGCACAAACACAGAGCACAGCAAACCCCTGGGGGTGCCTGCCCTTCCCAGCCACATCCTGGAATTCAACCTCAGCTTCCCCAAGAACCCAGCCCCAGGAAGCACCCAGTGAGCTGCTCAAGTGCCCCAGCCATGCAGCACAACTCGGGCACAATGCAGAGCTACCAATTAGTTAAAAGTCACTTAAAAGCAAAACAAACTAAAACAATTCATGAGGAGCCAGTGCTGCCTGTGCAGGAGGGTTGATTTGTGTTCACATGGACACAGGAGCCCTGCAGCTCTCCCAGCCCTGGCACACTGTGGGCTGGATGCTGAAAGCATGGCACAGTCCCTGCACTGGGGACACCCAGTCACAGCCCAGCCTGGCCAGGCAGCTCTCAGCAGCAGCAGCAGGGATTTTATCCAAGCTGGATAAAAGTGCCATCTCCAGACCAGTGCAGGGACCCAGCTCCAGCACACCAACACAAACAGCCTCAGCAAGTCAAGGAGAACAGGGTCCTTTGAAAACACATAACTCCTTCAAAGCCTGAGGAGAGCTGTGCACACCCACATGCACACCTGGGATTTCTGGAGTGCCCATTCCACTCTGCTTTGCCTCTGGGCAAAACATTCACAGGGCCAGAAGAGCTTTGCTGTAATAAAACTCACAAAATCTCTTTTATACCAGTCATTTCCCCTGTGCAGCATTCACAGTCAGAGCTCCCAGACACAAATCTGCACTCTCATCCATCTAAAATGAGTTTTCTTTTTTCTGCTCCCAAATCCACTATGGCTATCACCTGGTATTAAGAAGTTTGGGCCAGAAAGAAAACAATTTTTTAATTTAAAAACTGGCATTAAAAGAGCTTCAGGTTCACTGAAAACCAAGCAACAAAGTGGTGAGTGAGCTCTGAGGACACAATGTCACTCTGGTCCTGTTCCTACCCCAGCACAGCTGGTGCCCCATTTTAGTCATGTCCTGTCACTAGTCCATCACTGGTGACAGGTACCTGGGTCTCCTCCTCTGGAAGCCATCTTCCTACCCTCCAGAGAAATAAAGCTTCACTTGGCACTTAATGTTACCAAAAAGTAACAAAATTCACAATTTTAAAATTTCAAGCCAGGATGGAGGCAAGAGCGAGCAGTCCCAATTCCTTAAACCAGCAGAAGAAACACAAGGCTGGAGCTGTGCTCCCTGTGATTTGTTCTGAGGCAGCAGGTCCTGTGCTCCCCCTCTGGTTTGTGCTCTCCAGCCTCTCCAGAGGAGCTACAGAGTGGCCAGGATGCGCAGGAAGGAAACCACCACCACACAGAACGTCTGGCCCACGCCAAAAATGAGCGCCTCAAAGGGAATCATTTTTTTCCCTGCAGCTCTGTAAACTCCAGCAATGGCAGCACCTGTGGAGAGGGGGGAAAGCCAAGATGTGAATGTGAGACAGCTGCTGTGCACAGGGATGGGGGGGAGCCTCAGGAGGCGAGGCTGGGGCAGAGAACAGCGGGGTCTGAACCTCTCCCTGCTCACCAGCAGGCAGGAATGCTGGGCTGGGGCTGGCTGACAAACCTCAGCCAGGAACCAGAGTGTGCTGGTGGCAATGGGAGAACTGGTGCTGAAACTCTGCTGGGCCTCCAGCAGCTGTGGGGGCTGGGGGGGTTTGGGACATACCCTTGTCACAAGATCCCCCACCCACAGCCCACAGGCTGCAAACATTACCCAGGTCTGGGCACTGACACCAAACCTGAGAGATTTTCCTCCAGGGGCTCAGAAATGTGAAAGCCCCGTTGGCTCTGCACCCGCTGGGCACGTTTGGTACGCCCGACACGGGTTCCAACCATTTCAAACGTGGGACAAGGGGGAAATAACGCCAGACGGGAAATCTCCATCCCGGGGAACACCGCCATGCCCCGCGCTCCCGAAGTTAACCTGTGATCCCCGCAGCCCCCGGCCCTGCCGTACTTGTGAGGGTGCCGGCGGTGATGGGTCCCACGATGCCCATCAGCAGCACGCTCACGGACATGAACCGGCCGTACTTGTGGTGCCGGAGCGTGAAGAGCGCAAGCAGCGCGGCCGGGACGTGGAAGGCAAGGGAGGAGACGACTGCCCACAGGAAGACGCCGTACCACATCTCTGCGGAGAGAAGGGCTGTGAGGGCGGCCCGCGGCCCGCAGGCCTCCAGCGGCCCCGGCGGGCGGAGGCCGCTCCGGGCAGGGAGGTACCTGGGAAAGTGGAGAGCGGGCTGGAGTAGGTGGTGGTGCCATTGCCGACGCGGGGCACGAGGCGAAGGCTGAGGATCTGCTGCAGGAGCCCCCCGCCACCGCCGCCCGCTTCGCCGCCGTCCATCCCCGCACCCGCCCCGCCGCCATCCGCCACCGCCCCTTCCGCCCGGCCCCTTCCGGCCACCGCAGCCAATGGGAAGCGCTGTAAGATGATAGACATGGATTTCACCAATCAGCACTGGTCTCCACGCAGCCTGGGCCCGCCCCGACCCCGCGCTGCCATGGGAACGGCTGTGTGCCGCAAGGAACGCTGGGAGTGCCGGTGGGACGCTCTGGCCCGCTGGCGGACTCTCCTCTCTGCTCCCCGCTCGCGGCGCCGCCCCGGAGGCGCGGCCGTTCTTCCTGCCCGCCAGGGG